GGCACACGTTAATCTCTCCTTGTTTTTCAGTTGAGAAAGAAAAGAAGATTGCTGTGGTGCAGCCAGAGAAACAGTAAGTATGAGAGGAGGGGTGGGGTGTGTGATTGGTGGTAAAGTGGACTAAGCTCAACAGCCTTTCAACATCTCATTTAATTTTCATCCTTTTACAGCAGAACTCCCCCCAAGTCTTCATCACCTGACACTGTCAAGCAGCAGATAGCAAACCAGTCGGAGACAGGTCAGTTTGTCTGATCAGTTTTTAAGACCCTATATATTATGTTCGGTCTGCTGGTTATCTACTGAGGTGGTTCCATCATATATATGTCCTTGTGTGAACGTGTGCAGGGCAGGGCAACGGGAAATACTGCTGTCCCAAGATCTACTTCAACCACCGCTGTTTCTCAGGGCCCTACCTTAACAAGGGACGCATCGCTGAGCTGCCTCAGTTCATCGGCCCTGGAAACTGCGTCCTCGTGCTCAAAGAGGTGAACTGTAAACTGTGAGAGCGGCGATTACAGTCAGGAATAAATCACTCTACCAATAACCATGCAACTATGCTGTACTTTACTACATATACACAACACAGACTACTAAATCTCCAGCCATATAAAAAATGGACACTTAGCACTCAAGGGTCAGGAAGTAATTTGCTGTGGAATCTGGGATTTTCAGTGGGTTATGGGATTAGTAATTCTTTCACCAGTAAAGGTAATTATCTACACAGTCTTGTGCCTGGCCTCTTTTCTATTTTTATTTAATTTTTTTATTCTTATTGTCATGTTTCACCTCGTAGCTGGTTGGATTGGTTCAAGGCTTGAAACTCTTGGTACAAGGATTTTTTTTTTTTGTTGTTTATTGGAGAAAATGAATAAGGAATTCACTTCCAGAAATAGAGTCCTTCAAAACGTGTGCAGTAGCCATTGTTCTGTGTTACATCTTTCTTTTGTGCAAATTAGTCAGTGTTAGCAATGTCCTAAACTGTCATACTGAACACTGCAAATGTAAATGCCAAATTAAAGGTGGCAGCTTTGTCACTGTGAGTATGATCAAGTTAGGATTTCACCCAAAGCACTGTATAGCACAGCTAGACCCAGGTTCTGAAATTGTTCAGCTCGTTGTTTCCTCAGAAACTAGTGAAATTATGCCTATTAGTTAACAACACAATGTTATACTGTACAGCAAAAATCTTGTCTCAGGCTGATTAGGGATTTTTGATGTTAAGAGAAAACACATAGTGCTACTAAAGTATAAAATAACTCATTCTTTTCATCGTTTTCATCTCGTCTCCAGGTATTGACTCTGCTGATAAACTCAGCCTACAAGCCCAGCCGTGTGCTGAGAGAGCTGCAGCTGGACCAGGAGAGCCGCTGGCAGGGCCATGGAGAGACACTCAAAGCAAAGTGAGGAGACACGTCATTTAATTCTTCACGCAAAATACTCAGTTCTTCTGAAGAACCTGTAGGAATAGAACAAGTGCTTCCAGCTGGCATTTTTGACAGAACAAGCTGGTTTAAAAGTGTACTTAAAGCACTAATAGGTACAGACATGGGTGTATTCACACCGGAATCAGGGGCAACCCACTAATACTTCAGTAAAGTGGTGAATAAGATGATAGCATCTAGGTTTCTGTAAGGAGAGATCTTGTTAGATTACATATCGAAGCGGTTTTGGTTTTGAGTAACTGAAATTTTTTTTTACAGCCCAGCACTTTGTGGAAAATTAGTCACATTTACCATTGCTTTTCTTTAAACATCAGGTACAAGGGAAAGAGCTACCGGGCCACCGTGGAAATAGTCCGTACTGCAGACCGTGTGGCAGACTTCTGCAGAAAAACCTGCATTAAGTTAGAGTGCTGCCCGAACCTGTTTGGACCTCGCATGGTTCTGGAGCACTGCTCAGAGAACTGCTCTGTCCTCACCAAGACCAAATACAGTAGGTGGCAAACAGGTCATTGAGACTTAAAATTATTTCTCATTTCATCTGAAGTGTTTGTTTATATAGCTAGAGAGGCAATATAAACAACCTCTGATATTCATGTATAATATCTTAGAAATCTTTGTATTTGTTGATCAGCTGTTATAAACACTTTGAGATGCAATTAGAAAACTCAACAGATTTCTAATTGAATTAGAAAGTATATGTGCAAACTGGACGTTACCCGGCTAATAAAAGACTCAGATCATGCAGTGATACAGTGGAAGTCCAGTAGAACGTATTTCTGTAACTGACAGCATTTGGCATTTGAAAGACTGTGAATACAGTGGCGTTTGAGTCAGGAAAAGGAATGTCATTGCAGACGTGATACGGAATGTCTAACATTTCCAACCAGTATTTGTAATACATGCTCAGCATTGTGGTGGCATGTGTAAACCTTTAAAGCCCCAACCATGAAATAATTGCTAGAAATTTCTAATGTTTTGAAAATTGTAGAAGTCTCAGAACGCATGTATTAAATGTGATAGGATTAATGTTACTTTCATTATCTGTTTGTTATGTGTGGAGCTCCATAGTTGTCTACTAAAGAGGTTTTGCACTCCAAAATAATATTATTGTGTGTTCTGGTCAGTGCATGTCTCCTCCTCTTTTGTCTGCCATCTTTTGGGGCAGTTTGTTTTTGCAGATGTGTTTTGTTCGTTTTTTTTAATATAAAAACTTGTAAATGGAAATGTAGGTATTTAGAGATTTTAATGAAGTTA